AAAAAAAAAAAAAAAAAAAAAAAATTAGGTGTAGATACAATCTTCCAAGAACATCCCCTGACTTTCATTTCCACTTTTTAACTACTATCTCCCCATACCCTCTTTTCATCTTCTTGGTACATGCTTTTCTTCTCTGAGCTTTCCTCTGTCGTGGAACTTGTAGGGTTATAATGAAGTTGTTTGCTGTCTCTCACTGAAGCTTCTCTCCTTGTTTTCTTACATTTCCCTTCTTTACTTTTATATTCCACACAGAATGACATCTTTAGCAAAGGCAAAAAGGGCCGGGGATGTGGGTTAGTGGTACAGCACTGGGCTAGCATGCACGAGGCCCTGGGTTCAATTTACCCCTCCCTGGAGGACTTCAGTAACTTTTAGCAAGAGCAGAGAGGCATGGTCTAATGAAAAGTTTACCAGCAACTTCAGGGGAGAAACCAAAGATTAGAAAGAAGTGAAGCAGGTGGCAGGAGAGACCCCATAGAGAAGCACATGTAGTCATGTGCAGAGACCACTAGGAAACGGGGAGGTGTACATAGCAGAGCCATCACTGCTCTTGGCGTGTGGTAGATATGCAGTCATTGCTTATTAAAGTGAATTGGAAGAAAAATAAATGGAACAGTTTTGTTAGGTTACTAAACTGAACAGAAATCATTTTGTTCACACTTAGCATGTGTTGATGTGTAGACTAATAAGCAGTTGTGTCTAGACACCAAAGGGTAGGTATTTATTTCAGTAAATATAAATATCTAATCCTAAGCCCCTTTAACTTGTCTCAATACCTAGATTTGAGGAAGATTATATATATGAATAAAATAAATCAACGTGGCTATTTTTCCAAAAAGAGTTGTTTTCTGACTTCACTTTTAGGTTGGCTGTCCCTGTCCATAGAGTGTCCTAGAACCAAACTCAATTGGACACCAAGTTATAACTGTATACTCTTTAATAGTTTCTTTTTGGAAATGAAAATAAAAAATAGTAGTAATAATTGTAGTAGTATGCTGGCATAAGAGGAAAAACAGGAATTTCTTTAAATGCATTAAATTTTTAGGTTCTTTTAAAAAAACTTATTTTTACATGTACATGTTTATAGCACACAATGATTACATTCCTGTGTGAAGTTGGTACATGTACACAACACATCTCAATTCTTGTTTCTTTTCTATTTTTTCTTTTCTTTCTTTCTTTCTTGCTTTTTTTTTTTTTTTTTTGAGACAATCTCATTATATAATTCAGGCTGGTCTTGAATTCACAGCTAAAAAAGAAACATTCAAATAGCTAAATTCAGTATGTGGTAATGGAAGCTTTACTATTGCATTGTTAATTTTTTTGTTGTTGTTGTTTTTGAGACAGGGTCTCATATAGTTGAGACTGCCCTGGAACTCACTGTGTAGTCCAGGCTGGTCTTGAACTCATAGAGATCTTCCTGCCTCAGCCTCTCGAGTGCTGGGATTACAGGCACCCGGCTTGTAATTTTTTTTGTTTGTTTGTTTTTTTGAGACAGGGTCTCACTATGTAGTTAAGACTGACCTGGAACTCACTATGTAGTCCAGGCTGGTCTCGAACTCACAGCGATCCTCCTGCCTCAGCCTCCCGAGTGCTGGGATTACAGGCATGAGCCACTATACCTGGCTACGGCTTGTAATGTTAATATTTTGAGTTATATACTAAGTGTATAAAGTAATATTTTCAAAATTCTCAATTTTATTAGGTCACAGCTCCATTATGAACTCCTTCAATCTTGATGAAAACCAGGAATTAGAAACCATCTGACTTGCAAAAGAATTTGTTAGTCATTAGATAATTCACTTTCTTTAGGCTTTGCTTTTGTTTTGTGGATGTGTGATATTTTCTCTTGTCTCTGAGGGAAATGTGTTTCTTTTTAAGAAGTCTTTTGCTTGCTGTTTTACTGGGTGGCATTTAGTCTCTTTGAATGTGATGTCCTTGCCTTGGTTGTGTGGAAATTCTGTCTACCTGGTGCTTGATGTTTGAGTGCTCTGTGCTCACTCAGGCAGGTGTGCTACAGTGCTGCCAGGAGGAGTACGATATGCCAGCAGGCGCTCCTCCGGGTGTCTCAGGGCCCCACTGAAGCACCTTGCTCTTCTGCCATCAGGGACTTGCCACAGGCTGGCTCATTGGGGTGGAGGGAGGTGAGCATGAGGGAACAAGGACCAGCCAGCCTGGAGCTCCTGGTAGGGGACTCAGGACTCCTGCTGCTTTCGTGGGGCGTGGTTTCTCCTCATGTGGTCTCTGTGGAAGCACAGAAGCGCAGCCTCAGCTTCTAGCGGCGCTCCTCTGTCTTCCATGCAAGCCTTATCTCCGGGGCAGTGGCAGTGCCTGAACTCCCTGTTGGGAATCGTTGAAATGGCTCCGTATCTTTGGAGCATTTGGTTTCCCTCATGGATCCCAAGCCTGTGGTGCTCCATGATGGTTTTGTTGAGTTTAATGATAATCCTTGATAGTAATTTATAGAATGAGAAGGATTTAGCCTTGCTTGTGGGGAAGGCCTTGCCTATAGTGGTAGTACAGTGCTTGGATCATTTAGGAATTAATGACTCAGTTCTGTTCTGAGTTTCCATTTTTTAAAGCTTTAATTTGTGGACAGTTTTTATGTACTTTAAGCTAATCCTATGAATAGTATAAAAATTCCACTAATAAAACAGTAGAGTGGGGAGTAGTAGTACACATATGTTATCCCAGCACTCTGGTAGACTGAGATGAAAAGATTACCAGTTCCATCCCAGCCTGGCCAACTTAACAATTTAACTGTACTCTGTTTCAAAAAAGAGACAAAATTTTAAAGTTAAGAGACAAAAAATTTTTTTAAAGAGCTGAGGATGTAGGTTAGGGTTAGGGTTAGGGTTAGGCCCTTGTAAAGGCACTGGTTCAATCCTAAGTACCAAAACAAGACAGCAGTTGGATGTGGCTTTCTAGTTTTCTGTGTTACATTGGCAGTTATGCTTTGTGATTGTTGCAGGTACTTCATCTTCTAAACCAACCGTGCTAGCCAATGGTGACCATGCCATAGAAGGGAACAATACTACAGGTAAGTGGTCCCCGGGGTTCCCCAGGTGTTGAGTGAAACATGCACAGGAAACAGTGAAACCTTGGCACGCTTCTTTGAAGAGGATTACTAGTGGAAGTACATGAATAAATATTTCCGAGGTTATTGCTATTGTTGGATGTAAGGGCATCTACTACATAAAATCTCTAACACTGGAAAGAGAAGAATGAGTTTCCTCTGATATTCCTTACATATTTGTTGGAGTTGTACCAGTCATGATTGAATCTACCTTAAAAATACTCTTATAGATGTAGAATACTTACCATCAGATTGTGTTACGTGGGAGGCATTTAGCATCTGCAGCTCTTTAAGGCAGCTCTCTTCCCTGAGTGTGGGCCGTACTTAGTTTGCTTACCCAATCCTAATATTAGGAAATCTTCCAGGAATACATTACAGGCGCTTTCCTTTGTCTTTTGTCCTCAGTCTGTTGTTCCTATATCTTTCCGCTAACTATTGCTTTTGAGATTTATCTCTAACCCTGGCCCACTAGTGAGGCTTTGATATTCTCAGCTTGCATTGAGCTCCTGTGGGTGCTCACCCTATAGCCAGTGTGAACCCCTGCCCGAGTGTCTTTGTGGCAAGCAGAGTTCTCAGCATTCTAGCAGGAGTCTGTCCACAGCAGGGTGTGTTATATAAATCTTTTCTTAGGTAGCCTGTGTGAGAGCCATGTGTTGTGCTTTTATAAGTAACTGCACTTAATTTGCAGTTGTGACTAGGCTGACACAGTAGATCCAGATGTGTTGGCTTCTGGTGCTCCAGCACACTGTGCTCTGGGCCTGGCGTTTGAGGTGCCCTAGTAAAGTGGAGGCCTGCACTGGCCCCAGTGCTGCTGTGTTTCTCTATATGGCTGAGTATCTCGGCCACCAGAAGCTTTTGCTGGACCTGCCATGGGGTTGTGCAGCTTCTGAGGCCTCCAGGAACCTGGAGCCTAGCAATGGCAGCTACTGCAGGATTTAGTCTTTATTCTGTGACTTAAGAACTGTTGTATATGTCTCTGTACCTCAGAGTTATTGACACTTAAGTTCTATTTGTTATGACAAATATGGATATTAGTTTTACCCAGTGACATTAACATTAGCAACTGATAATTTAGGTATTCTTTAAAAACTAGAAACAACCAAAGTGCCACATTATTTTCCAGCTTTGTGAGCTGACATTTTTGTATTTCTCCGATTATTGTAGTCATACGCAGTATTGACTGATTCAGAGCCTGCTTTGAAAGCAGTCATCCACATGCTTGATTTTAAGATAATAGAAATGCAAATATCTCTGTGATTAAAGAAGACACTGGAACATGAATTTAAAAAAAAAAAAAAGTAAATTCAGCTTCTTTAACCAGGAGATAGCATTAGAGGAAGGAAAGGCTTAGAGGTGTTGACTCGATGATCCATTTGGAGAGTGGATGCCAGTAGATGTCGAGCCTGCCCAGAAGAGACGCTGTCTCTGCACTGCGAGTCTTACTAATGCAGGGGAGAAAGAGCAATCATCCACGAAGCCTGGCCTGTGTTTCATGACTTCGTTCGCTGGTGACAAAAGCAGCTCATGTCTTTAATGAACTGCCCAGTGATGTTATAAGAGCAGGTCCTTCTGGTTGCAGGCATCTTTCTACCCCTACGTAGGATGTAACTTGTACATCTGGGTTGTTTAAATTCTGTTGTTTCTGTATCTTTCCCCTAACTATTGCTTTTGAGATTTAATCTCTCATGTACTGTAAAGCAGGCATTTTACTAAGAATTTGCATGTTTCAGTGGACAAGGGAGGAAATAGGGAGGGGGCGATGTGCATGTTTGGGAGCATGTTGTGGCTTGGTTCTCAGGAGAATCTAGCTCAGTGCCATTGTGACTTCTCTCAGGCACTATCTACGGTCCTGAGAGCAGCTCCACCCCACCAGTAACTACACGTAGGGGTTTATAAGCACCTTGCTCTGTTGAACTTGCTGTTTACTAATGACCTGTGCTTTTCTGCCCTTTCCTTCCCCTTCCCCTCCTTCTTCTTCCACCCTTTCTATTTTTTTCCTCCCAGAAACCTAGCGTGTCTCTCAACACTGGGGCTGCGGCAACACCAGACCAGTGGTTTTTCCTAAGAACCGTTACACTCCTAAAACCTTCAGCATTTTGCAGCTTTGCTTTTCCTTCCGGGACACGATGTAGAAGAAGCTGAGGGTAGTTCTTCGGGGCCTCTTTCTGCTGATGCCTGGGCAAACCACCTCCTCCTCCTTGTGCTCTGCAGGGCTTGATGGAACCTCCTTTCCCTTTGTGAGCACAATGTGCAAAAGCAATTCTTTTTAATTTTAGTATTTTTAAAAGGTCATCTGATGTCTTTTATTTCCTGTTCTTTTAAAATTTTATCATTTAACTCAGTCTCACATTTTTTCCTTTTCTTTACACATGTTTAGTTGGACTTTTTCATTTGCTTTTGAATATTCAGCATGAGTCAGGATATCGTAACCCAAACGAGAACATGTGCTTTCATAAAGGGGCTGAGGTCACCAGTACTGCAGCGAGTTTCCCTTTCCTGTCCCTCCTCTTCCCTTGTGGGAGCTTGCCTTTTAGTGATATTTAATCTCTCAGCCTACCTGTTTTCACCTTATGAAAATCTGGATGTTATTTATTTTAAAGCTTTCTAGTTTAGAGTAGGTCTGATTAAACTTTGGAGTATTTCTCCAAGTTTTAAGTTCTTTTTTGTTATTTGCAAGTTGGGCCAAGGTTGTATTTATCATGAAATTTTATCTGTTTATCTAGGGCTATGTTCTGAAAATTTGACTACCTTATTATCGTTTATTGAGTTTTTATAATTAGAGTTAACCTTTTGAGCATGATCATCAGCTATCAAAATAAAAATTGAGAAGTTAAAGAAAATGGAACTAAGTCATACTGTCCTCAGATCCTATATTGTTAGAATACTGGGATGTTGATAAGACAAAAAATAACTTCTGTAACAACTCCAAAGTGAATATAAATTGCAACATATTTAAAAGGTACAATTAGGCAAATTTCTAATGGGGTTATTTTTCTCTGCCCTTGGGCTCATACCCAGGCTCTTATACAGATTAACCAATTGATCTGCCACTGAGCTAACATCCTTAGCCCCTTGTTTTGTTTTGGTTTGGTTTTGAGATAGGGTCTTGCTGAGTTGCTCAGGCTGGCATTGAACTCCTGGGCTCAAGCAGTCCTCCTGCTTCAGCATTCTTAAACCTCTGAACTGCAGGCGTAAACCACCACACCCAGCTTCTGATTCACCTCAAGGTCTGTTCAGGATTGATAGTTCTTTGAAATCTAGAAATAACTCTTTATACTGCGTTGCAGTAGGATTGGTGGCTCACTCCCAAGACCTGGGTGTAAAATCATTTATTGTGAGCATTAGCCATTATATTCACACGTTCTCAGGATTGTCTCAATGGTACTTTCTTATTTTTATTCTTTATTTTTCCAAATTCATAGATTAAAAAAAATCTAGAATCATTTAGGATAAGTACTGTGCATTTTCACAGTAGTAAACTTTGAATGGATTTTTAGAAATGGAATATAAATGATAGACTATGTTTTGAAATCTTAAGAGGACAGTTCTGGTTTCAAATCTGGAATATAAAATGCCCTTAAGTTTTTATCCTGTTACTGATTGTGTAGAGCTTTTTTAAACTCTAAGGTACTGATTGCTTCAGATTAAAGGAAATAATTATAAATATCATATCATGAGGAAGGTACAGTACATGTAGTTTTAGATCCTCTGGTATAAAACTGCTTTGGAGAGGTGAAATTGGGATCCTGAAAGCATCAGCAGTCCCTGTAGGACCTTCTCACATTCGGGAAGCACTTCTCTTCAGCAGGGATCTAGTTGCAAGGGTTGAGTCTCTCCCAGTACTCTGACCATTGGCTTCTTAGCAGGAGACACTTGAGGGAGGGACCACATTTGAGAGAGAAGAGTTTGGGTTTATCAGTTGATGAAATAGAAGACTCCTACCACAGGAAGTACACCATCAAATCAAACACGGCTCTCCATTTTGGATGTGAAGTTGTTCATTACGTTGTTTTTGTGTAGAAGACTTTCCCAAACTGATAGTACTGCCTTTTAAAAATTGTGTTTGACATCTTTCTGCTGCTTCTCACCTGTCTGTAGCTTGTCCAAGGGTCGGGTGGATAGAGGGCTGGATGCATCTTTCTCTTACACACACTCATACTTCATGTTTGACCTTGATTTATTCTACTTTTTATTTCCATTTGATTATGTTTGCTTTTGTTTGAGAATTTTAAAAATGTATTTTCCTTTTGAATGTATAGGATTGTTGAATTTTTCTACTGACAGCTAGCTAAAAATTGGTATATTTTATTACCTTCTTTTTCCTTTGAATGTTTAACTTTGAAAGAATGTAATTTTCACGTACATACATTCATGTGAAGTTACATATGCTCATGTGAAGTAGTCAGTCCCATAAAACATGCTATATTGCTGTCATGCTCAGACATGCCAGACAGCTAAGGGCTGCTCTATTGAAATGTGATGTTTTTCATGTTCTCGCCCCCCCCCCATTTTTGGCCCAATGTTGATGATATAGAACTTGTTTTCAAATATTTTTCTAACTTCATTCACATACCTAAGTTTGTATTTTTTGTGACTTTGGACTTTAACAGTTTGTATATGGGGACATTTTAATGTGATCATTGTGCTAAACTAACTAATAAATATCTTGCATTAACATCTCACAGACTGGATTTTGGTTGGGGTCTTAATTATTTGAGGGTGATGTAACTAAGACACAGTTTTCATAAATACTCTTTGAAGCCTGTCTAACAAAACTTCTATCTCACCAACTATAATTCCATAATTGTAGGGACTTTTTACCAAACGCTTTTACTTACGTTATCACCATTTTGATCATGACGGTAAAAAACCCTTTCATCTAGAATAAATATTAAGTTCAGGTGATTATTGAATTTTTTTTTTTTAAGCTTTTTTGAGACTAGGTCTCACTATTAGTTCAGGCT